TTGTTTTGTTCTTTCTTTTTTGCGTCGCTCTGCTGCTAATCTTATCTCTGGACTACTCTTTTTTTGCGCCCCCACCCCCTCCTTTCCCCCTCCTTAGCTCATTCAGACGCCCAACGGCGCACAGGGATTTGCAATGGTCTATGGGCATCCCGACGACACGTTGCAGCTGGGTGCCCACCTGGCCTCTTGACTGCTCTGACCGTTGACCCGGTCGACAAAGGCCGACCTCGCGCTCGACACACATGAGTACGGGCAGGTTTCTTAGAGTGAGGGTGGGGGGAGGAGAGGGAGGGAGGGAGGGAGAGAAGAAGGAAGCGCTAGCGGTGTGGCATGGCGTAGCGCGTCCCGTATAAACAAACCACTGGATGTCGTTTGTAGTTCACATAGTTTCGAGCGGGGCAGCGAATTTAGCATGATAGAAGCACCCTTCCCACCCAAGTTCTCTTTGCACGTGCAATGACGCTACTACTTGTAGTTATTCTTCTCATCAAATGGAAATAGTTGTGATTTGCCGCTCAGCTGTAATATTTCTAAGTTAACATATTTCTCTGCAGCCGGCAGTAGCTGCCGATGCAGTGCCCATCGTAACTAGGCTCTAGGCTCTTCCTCGATGGTCTCTTTGGGTTCCGCTCCGCACCGCATCCTCCTCGGACTGCTCTTCGGTCCGCTGCAAAGTCCACGCGCTCCGTTTGCACATCACGTCAGCAGACCCAGCAGAGAGCAAACGGCCGTCAGAACGATATCGAAACGACGTCGTCTCGATGCCGCATTGATCGTTTCGATCATTGCAATATCGTTTTGACGTGTAGTTTCTCTCTGGGCACCCCTGTGATCACTGTGAGCGAATAACACGGTCGCGTACTTCAAGAAGGTCAACGAGACTGGATAGAAGCGACGGAAGAATTTTATTATTTTACAAAATGTATTTTTTATTTGTTTTAAAAATATGATCATCATCACGTCTTTTAATCGCAGATACTACTGCTTCAACAAGTATACAACTCACAATGAACATTCACTCGGTCGTTAATGACAAATAAAAACGTTACACATACATAAACAATACACATAAAAACGTAAAATACTGATCGGAAGACGACGCTCTCAGCAAGCGCCCCTATGTTGTAGTACCTACTTATCACAACACATAGTCTACATGGTACGGTAAGAGCTTACCCTTTTAGGGTAATTTTTTTTTTAAAAAAAAGACGCCTTTTTACAAATACTCGTCTAATTGTGATTTTAAAATACCAACAAAGAATACATAAACTATTCCCGTTTTAAAATTAATCATCACACATCGATGCCCATCGGGGCCAAAATAAAATAAATACAATTTCATTCAAAGGTTTCGTTTATAGGTGATATGGCAGAAGAGAAGATAAGATTGAGTGTCACGAGGCGTCCCAACGTGCAATTAAAGTGAAAACTGTGAGCTAAATGCAACAAAACTTCATAATTTTTTCATTTTCAAATCGTTACAAAATTGGTACTAACTTTTCGAGTTCAATAAACACGGTTTAGTTAAGTATACTTCCGATTTTGCGTCGGTTACTTTTCCATTTTTCTACGAGAGTCACATCCCCTCAGTACTCTGGTACGTTGGGCGAGCCAATAATCGCTCGTTCACGACACAAATGACTGACGAAACACTCCTCGAGTGTTTGAGTGGTGCAGTGATTATAACGATAGCAAAGACATCTCTTCTTATCTGAGAACAGAGAATGGTCATAAACGACGCCTCGTGACCAACCCCACACGCCACATTCCGAGAACCATACTGCTGATGGACTCGAGCGTTTAAGCGAAGACGCACCCGCGCCACCGCCACGCCATCCTGGACAGGAGTCGTCACCCAATATAATGAAGGGAAACACACACAGACATACACACACACACATACGCACCAAGCTCAAGGAAGCTTCTCTCACAAACACGCAGACGATGATTTGCAACCCACTGGAGGTATGGGTTTTTCATCGAAAAAGGAAGCTTCAAGGAAGCGACCAGCTGAGTAAATACAGCCGCCGAAATAGGACTGGAAACTTCCAAAAATTTCCGGAGAATTTCAAGAAAAATAAGGAAAGTCTCCGGATAAAACGATCCGGGATCTGCGAAAATTTTTCTACTTTTCCGGGAATTTTAAGGAAACTTTCCAGGACGTTCCAGCAGGCGTTGCGATTTGATTACACGACAAGGCGCCCGGACCCGACCCGCAGGCCCGCGGCGGCTCGTGCACGAGTCAGTCAGGCACGTCGACGACGACGACGCGAGGAACGGCGAGGTCACGAGACCACGACGGCGTCCTGGCTGGCCGCGGCGGCGGCCTCGCTCTCCTGGCGCGCGGCCTCGTGCTCCCAGATGAGCACGAGGCGGTCCCAGAGCGAGCCAGCGCGCAGCGACGCCCGCTTGTTGAGTTGCCGCACCTCGACGGCGTCGCGCGAGGCCACGGGCGTCGAGGGGTCGTACGTGCCCGCGCGGGCGGCCGGCGACGGCGTGGCGGACACCTCCAGGACGACGGGGGCGGCGGCGGCGGTGGCGGCGGCCGGGGCCTCGGGGACCGCCGCGGCCGGGATCGGCAGGTCGGACGACAGGTGGTCGAGGGCCGGCGCGGCGGGCGCGGCCGCGCTCAGGCCGTGGTGCTTGGGCGGGGCGGGCGTGGCCGTCCAGCGGGGCATGGTGCGCACGACGGCGAACAGCCCGTCGCCGGGGCAGGCCGTGTCGCGCGCCTGCCGGTGCCCGATGAGCTGGTAGTCCGGAGCGATGCGGCCCGTGTCCACGCCGCAGCGGATCAGCCACGAGACCGCGTCCAGCATCTCCTTCGGGGGCGCCTGGGCTGCTCGGGAGAGAAAGGGAAGACGTCATGATATGAGTCAACTGGTCAATATCGACCTCCCACACGGCCTGTCCTCGAATTTTAAATTCTCAGAAGTATAATTTGGGGGGAAATTTCTCAAGATATATCTTTTAAAATGTCTGATTTTTTTCTGGAAAAAGGTTCCAATTTTTCTAAGGGAAATTTCGGATTTTCATGTAAATCACGTATTCCTCGGCTCGGGCCCTAACGAGCTCGCATCACCAGGCAGCGCCGCGAAAGAGCTTTACAATAATGCCCAATATCGATAATCAGCCCACTCCTGCCTGCATGCCAGCTAGGTGGTCATGCGTGCGGGCAGCTGGGCAGCAGCCCGCCGTCCGCTGGCCGCACACAGACTGTGCTGTCGCCCCCATGGCCCCCGCCCGCAGCAGCGCACGTGCGGGACGGGAAGGCCCCCGGGGGTCATGGGGCAGCGCCCTATCTCGTGTCTGAGAAGAAAGCTTTTGTCCGGCCGGTCGCCATGGGGGCTGCCGGCGGTCTGTAAAACGCGCCCGCCGACATCTCGATTGAGCGGACGCGAAAGGCGCCGCGGCGATGCTGCGGTTATTGCAAAAGTTGGCCGGCGGAGGAAGGGGAGGATTGGTCGAGAAGCCGCGTCGTATGCCGACGGCACGGCCGGCGCGTGCCGTCTCGCTGAGGGCGCGCGCGGGCTTTCGGCCGGCGGCGGCCGGCGGCTTTCGACCTTGTTTTTAAAGCTTTAACGAAAAACCGCTCTAGATTGCCCCAGAGCCGCAGCGCCTTTGCGACGACGACGTCCCGGTCGTCACGCCAGCAGATAGCAGCCGGCCGGGGGCGTGTACTCTAGCCCGCCCTGCCCGCACCCTGCTCGGAGTGGACCCCGCGAGCAGCCCTGGGCCTTGGGCCTCGCGGGGCCAGGGCCGGCGGGGGTCCACCAGGTCCACCACCTGCACCAGCAGCTGCCGCCCGCTTTTGTCTCCACAACGTGGTGGTGGTATGGCGGAAAGAAAAGGTGGTGGCCTGGGGCAAAGTATGTGGGGCGGTGCTCGATAAGTGCGGAGGAGAAAAGAGAGCGCGACTCGTTGCGACCTCTCGAACTCGAATCTGCCCGCGACGCGAATAACGAAAACTTTGTCATTTCCATATCGACGCCCTCCCGAGAGAGTACGGGTCGCGCGGCGCGTTACCCGCCCGTCCAGCAGCTCACCTGTCCAGTCGCCGATGAGGGTGATGCCAATGCTGTCCTGGTTGTAGGGCGGCGCGTGCGCGCCCACGCGGTTCCAGCCGCGGCCCTTGTACACGCGGCCGTCACCGCCGACCGCGAAGCTGTGGAGGAGAGCAAAGGAGACAGTTAGCGCCGTCGTCGCCGCTTCCACAAAAGTATACAAAGGGCAGCCGTTTTATTATTTCAAGTTGGCAAAATACCGCCTCATCTACCTTCAT